AAATTTGTGGTAAAGAAAAGGTGAAACAAGAGACTATGGCAATATAAGTAGCAAATTAGCATGCATCTTAAAGGGGAAGTTGAGGTGGTGGAGGGAACATAGGGTGGGGCATGGGTGGGAGCGAGAAGTGAAGAGAGACTGCATAGATATGCCTCTTCCTGTCTAGAATACAAGCATTTTGTGAGCGAAAGGAACCTAATTATTTAAATACCTTCAGGTATTGTCTGTAAAGCTCGTTGAGGGATCTCTGCAGAAGTTCGTAGCCGTTTACTTTCTGGTCCAGCATTGTCATCAGAAGATGAATCATCAGATAATATGTTTACCTGCTCAGGAGAGGATCTTGGCCTCTCCATATTTGTAACTGCAAACCATAACACAAACGAGCCATAAAATTTATGCATGCTTTCACATCAAGCTGATATTACAAATAGGAGCCAATTTGAAATCAGGTCTAAGAAAATCTAAATAAATTCAGTGTTGATACATCAAGACTTTGGTTAAAAATAAACTACAACAAAATTTAAAGAAACCATCAATGAATCAAAGCAGCCAGTATGGCTTTCAAACTACAGGCAATATTTAGATGAAGTCTAATTCCAATTCAGCAAGAAAATTAATAAGAAGGTAGATCCCAAATTGGCACTAAAGCGATGTAAAAGCCAGCCGTGGTGATACATTTTCACCAGATACAGTACATATTAGCATCTTACAAACTGTTTGGTTTCTACTAGATCATGGCAATGACAATCACTATCAAAGACCCCTACAATGATAATGGATTTTTTCAAGATTCCTGCATCCCTTCACTGATGTTTGGTACTCGCTTATCCATGGGAATGTCCCTTTTATTCCTTTTATTTAATTATTTATTTCTTTTTCTGTCCTTCTTCCCGTCTTCTCCATGTTAATTTGGAAGAAGAACCCTGATTTGACATGCAAAGTTGCCATCAACCCACTCCCTTCGCCATATGAATCTCAATCAAAGCTCACAAAGTGCGAAAGCACTTAAATCAGATCCCCACACTAACAAAATCTTTGTTAGATTCCAAACATTTCATCAAAAATCAAGAACCTAATTTCTTAACATCCAAAGCCATTGTTTTTCCTTGAACTTTTTCTGACCAAATCATCTCTTAGGAGCACAACAATTTCTTTGATAAGATCCAAATTTCATGGGCAGATCCATGAATCATCAACTGCCAAAGAGATCCACTATCAATACAGATCGCACTTTTTTGGGGTTATTTTTATCATTTCCTAGTAAAGCTATTAACTTGCATAAAAATTGTAAAGGATGGGAAACCTGGAAACCATCTCGGGACCATCTGAAGAAGGTGAGAATGGAATCTGAAGGGAAGTTGTGGTCAAATAATTGTTGGAGAGGGCAGAGCTGATTCGTATGGTGGGTTGAAAAGTGAAAGAAACCAAAGAGATCCACTATCAATTACGTGGATGAATTGGCCATCTCAATCTCTTTCGGCTCCAACTTATTATCATATCTATAAGCATGGGAAGAAAAGAGAGAGTGGAAGAGCTTGGGAAGGATGGCCAGCGAGGGGCAGAAAGAAGACACAAAGAGAGAGGGAAGAAGATGGCGTACGTTTTTTCTCCCCTTCTTGGGTTTAATTCGATGGAGTATTTGATTTATTTTTTTTTACTTTAAAATGGGCTAAGCGGAGGATGAGGTTGATGGTGCCCAATTAACTCTATAATCAATCTATGGGATTGAAAGACCCAAAAGTGAGTAATGACCAATCCCATAGTGGTGTTCCAAACATAATGTATGGGTTTTATTACCCTTTCATTCCCATTGAGGGCAAAACCCTCCAACCAAACGGGTGGTTAGTGCTGGTTCTATAACCAAATATTACTAGAAAAATGTATAATAACAACAATAAAAGCATCCAAATGCATGAGCTGATGCATTAACTTATTGCCACCAAGCATCTCGGATAAACGTCAACTACTCAGTGCAACATATTTTTCCCTAAACAGTTCATGATATTAACGTTCTGCCTCTAATCGTAAAAGTGTAAATCCAGTCCATGAGTTTGACAGTGACAATTCAGTTGTGACCAAATTTTGAAAAGTGCCATAACTATGTGAACTACAAGATGGAAAAAAGTTACATCAAAGACTCGCATTTCATATATGAGAGATTATGTATCTAAGCTGTACATGACCAAACCAGGACAAAGAAATGCAGAGGAAACTCCCATTCACAAACTTCAAAACACGAGCATTAATCATTGCTTATAATCATAGATATATAATGCTAATTTTAGAAAAATCAAAATCTCAAACCTAGTATCAAAGATCTGTCACAGCTCAACACATTCCCACTTTTGCACAAGCGACTTCAATAAATGTGTCACAACTTAAAACATATATTCAGCAATTCCTTCCCAAAACAAAGAACTCTCACACAATCTCAAATTGGTGATGGCCGCAACAATTTTTTGTAAGTTTAGTGTCCTCAATTAATTATTCATACACTTACATTCCTAGCACTCAATTGTACTTAAAACAATGTGCAAAGCAAAAGTGTAGTTAAACGAATGGAATCCCTCCACTGTTGCGAAATGCACAGAAGTTTGAGCATATCAACAAAAACACCCAGAAACAAGACGCTCATGTATAGATTCAGACAAAATTTGTCACTCAAGTGTCCTCAGAAAACTGCTACTTCTGTCCCCAAATGTAATGAAAAACATCTTTAAAACCTATTTATCGATTCCAATTAAGTACTAATCTCCGATTATCCACAGCAAACCTTCCAGTTTCATTTTAATTTGTGTCATAATTACAAAGACCTATCACGTTAACTATCAAACTATTGAAATTGAAGTGCATAGAAGAATTTTGAAGTTATTATGCACAATAGTTGCAATCCAAAGTACTTACCAAATTAATAACCAGATCAATTCAAAGCCAGCAACCTTGCAAAAAATACTGCAGCTGGCAAATCAAAAAAGAAAATTTCAAACACGGACAAACGTCAAATGCCAAAAATAGGGAAAAAAACCATAGAAGTAAAAAGGAAGAGAGAGTAAGAAAAAATAGACCATGCACCAAATCTTTGCGAAGTTTTACAGATTTAAATTGCATGCAGGATAAAATAATAAGCTACCTGAGAAATATACATCGGAGGCAGAGTCGGAATCGGAGGGGATCATAAACCAGAGAACTCCGGCGGGCTACTCCGATAGATCATTCCGGTGCCGGTGAAGAGGAACAATTTAAGTGACTGGACAACTGAGGTTTGGGCGGAAGAAACCAAAAATAAATGAAGGGTTAATTTCAGAAACCTTCCTTGAGGTTTATCCTAATATCACCTAGCTCCTCTAAAATTTCAAAAATATCACATAGCTCCCCTTAAATGACAATTTATGTAACATTATCACCTCTTATGTATAAAAGTAATATTAAAGAATGCATTGGAGTAAAGAGATTATTTTATATTTCCATTTTTACCCTTTTGCAATTTGATACATGAATTTTGAAATATGAAAAAAAAAGACAAATAAGGTGGAATATTAAATTTGGAATATGAGAAGATGTGAGTGCAATAAATGATAAATTTATTCGTTTCGTAACTAGAAAACAATGCATACAAGGGTAACTTATAAAACTACTTGAACATTATAAAAAGGCAAAAATTTTAAGAGCAAAGATTTTGTGGTAAAGAGAGACAAAAATTTTGCAGCAAAGAAAGAAATTAGAGTGAAAATTTCAAGAGATCGGGGCTAATTACTTAGAATATCGATGAAAAAAAGAAAAGTTGGACATGTATGAATCTGACAATGGATACGTATAAAACTATGGCTGCTGGGCTGTGTCTGCCCGGTTTGCTGCCGGGCTGACATAGACCGGCAGCCAGCTAATTTTTTTTTTTTAATTTTGTTTTGTGTTGCCGGGCTGATAAGGCCCGACAGCATTTAAAAAAAAAATGTATTGCTGCCGGATAGAAGTAAGTATATCCATCTGCTTTGTCCACAAAGGCTTCATAGTTCTTTGGGATTCCTGCAGATAGAGAATGCATACAAGGGTAACTTATAAAACTACTTGAACATTATAAAAAGGCAAAAATTTTAAGAGCAAAGATTTTGTGGTAAAGAGAGACAAAAATTTTGTAGCAAAGAAAGAAATTAGAGTGAAAATTTCAAGAGATCGGGGCTAATTACTTAGAATATCGATGAAAAAAAAAAAGTCGGACATGTATGAATCTGACAATGGATACATATAAAACTATGGCTGTCGGGCTGTGTCTGCCCGGTTTGCTGCCGGGCTGACATACACTGGCAGCCAGCTAATTTTTTTTTTTTTTAATTTTGTTTTGTGTTGCCGGGCTGACAAGGCCCGACAGCGTTTAAAAAAAAAATGTACTGCTGCCGGATAGAAGTAAGTATATCCATCTGCTTTGTCCACAAAGGCTTCATAGTTCTTTGGGATTCCTACAGATAGAGCATATATCCACTTTGACCAACTAGGAGGAGATCACCGCGCGATAGTGTGGAGTTAGTGCCCAAAATTTCTTTGTGCCCAGCATTGTTTAGCAACGATGTCAGTTGTAAGTGAAAATAAATTGTACAATGTTTGAGTAAGATTGTGTATTTTCTATTTCGAGAACTTGGAAGTAAGGGATAATAGTAATTAGTACAACAATTAACATGATCTTCCTGAATGCTTATCAAATGTCATGAATTAAGAAACATATTGTAAAATATAAATTACATTCATAAGTACACAATCTAATTTGCTAAACATATAAAAAGAAGAAAAAAATTAAATGTCAAGATCGGAACTAAATCAGCTTCCAAGGTTCCAATATTTGCATTCTCGATCACTCAAATCTTAGAGTATGTTAGAAATTAATAGCCTCCTGTACATATCTTTTTCTAGAACAAAGTGTCAGTATGACAATCTTGTTAACATCATAGGCAGCATACCATTATTCATTGAGCAATGGTCTAGTACAGTGGCGTATCCAACATGTCCTCTAGTGCAAAAGCCTATGACAATATCAAATTCTTTTTTTGAGATAAGTCACAATCAAAATAGCAACATTAATAACAATAAAACACCCACTCAAAGCAGTAATCTAATACTCAAAGAAAAAAATAAAAAATATAAACAAAGCCAACTCTACTTGCAAAGTTTTCTAGAAGTCTTCTTTCTTTTTCTAGATTTTGGATCAGTAGAATACGGGTCATGTGAACCTGAGACTTTTTTCAAATCATGAGCTGTGGGATCAGGCAAAGCAAGTTTTGCAGTGGAAGAAACTGATACAAATGACTCTTTGATGGGTGTTAATTTTACTGTTTCTGTAAGGGGTATTGGAGGAAACCGAGCACTGACATCTACAGCAGAACTTTGAGCAGAGGAAACCCATGAAGCAGGGAAAAGGGGCTGCGATGCCCAAGAAGTTGCATTTCCACCAAAGTCACGCAAAGGTGGTGTCTGATAAGCACGCAGAGGAGAAAGTGCCTGATAATCAAGAACAAGACCTCTAACATGCCAGAGCATCACAAGAGAGAGTAGGTATGTTCCATAGAGGTGATGAAAGAGGTATCATTGGATTAACAACAGGAGAAGGGCAACTCTTGCTGCTCACTTTAGCAGCAGGCGTTGAAAGAACCTTGCTTTGGCTCAAACCCTGTTTATTTCCCTGCTCTGAAGTTTTAGGACCTACATTGGAGCAAATTGGAACACGCTTCAGCAACAACAAAACCTTCAAAAACCTCAAAAAGTCGTGAAGTACCTGAACGTGATTGTACAGGGGTCTCAGAGCTGCCTGGATGCAATTTTGGACCATAAAGCCTTTCCAAACATGCCCGCCAAGCAGGCTCCCAAAAGCTCCTCCCTCCTTTTGTTAGTGAAAAGCTTCAAGCTAGTTACCACAGATGCTAACAGATACATACAAGTACAAACAAAATAGAAGGAAGAATATACGAACCACACATCCCAAATGCCAAAACCATACAAGCTTCATCAAGTGCTACTCCTTGTCTGCACCATCATAATTTCAAAATATAGCTAAATCAAATGCCAGTAGGTAGACATGACATAAGAATTTTGTATAAAAGTTGAGGAAGTGCAAGAGAAAGGTATCAGGAAAAGAAACCAGACTCAGGTCTTATATGCGGACAAACATAACTATGCCTAATGACCATAATCTATTTACTTTCTTCACATGCCATATTGTGTTTGTATCTTCGATTTCAGTATAGGACTCACATCAAGGACCCATAAACAAAAATTTGCGCCTGTAATTGCACTTGCTGTAGATCTGTAAAAGGCTGCTGAAAGAATAAAGATACTTGAGCGGAAGTGTTCAAATCGGGTAAACTTGAGCTGAAGTGTTCAAATCAGGTAAACTTGATCCAGAAATAGGAAGAACCACGCCTTGCTTGCTCCACTACATTCCACGCTTGTCACTTCTAATTGCTTAAGTTGACAACTTCCTGTTGATAAAAAGGCAGAAAAACAGAAGAAATTAACCATTATCACCCGAGCGAGGAAAGAGGAAAAAGGGAGATGAAGGAAAAAGAGAAAAATGAAAGGAGAAACCAAGAAAGAAGGAGATTACCAGTCCCATTTGCCTTGAGCCCCTCATCCACTATCAAATCCCAGCACCTTCTGAGAAGAAAAAGAATCTGGACCCACACGTACAAAGAAAAGCTATAGATTGAGGAAGGACCGGCAAAAAGGCCAATGTTTTGGCACACCCTATTTGTTAAAGAAGGGCAATATCGTAAAATAATGCCAACCCGCATTGAGCCCATCACCCAACACTTTTCATCAATCAAATCATCACCAACCGTCATAACCTTACTCAGCTGGCCATTTGCTGACCAGAGAAATGGTACTTGTTGGAAACAAATTTAATCAAAACCAAAGGTCCTTATTCTCGGACAACAACAAAAATCCCACTTCTTCTCCTGGCGAAAGCACGCGACTCCCACGTGAATGACGACTACCCTCCAGCCAATAAAACACAGCCATATCAGCACAATAGCCATCCATCTTAACAGCCCCATTCATGCTTTTACTTTATAGGTAGATAACTACCAAGAGCCTATGAAGCATATAGTCAAAAGTTTGACTTCATATTTTTTTGGTCCCTTATGTTTTAAATAATTATATTTCAAATGAAGTAAAATGTGAATTAGATTAAATGCATAAAAAATGTGTTCTAAATCTCATTAAAATCCTTAAAAGTAATCCACATTGTCAAAACATATTAGCCTAAAGAGCATCTTTTCGTTAAATTAATTACTAACAAATGATAACACATAAATCATATATAAAAGAAAATTTAGTGGAAAAAAAAATTTTAATTTGAGTATATAGTAACTTTAGTTGTAAATAGTATAACACAAATCGTTATATGACTTGTGGATATGAGTTTCAATCGGTTATAATCAGGCATTATAATTATAATAACAAATAAAGGTGATTACCAATATAAAGGACTCACATGAATTTTTAAAAAATTTCTTGCCATTTCTTCTTGTCTTTCCTTCATATTAAATCAAATATTTCAATAATACAATTTAATGTATTTATATTTATGTTCATCTTAAATTGATAATTTTATTGAATAATTTAAATAATTATAAAATCTTTATTTCAATTGAAACTTAATTGACAACTAGTTGAAATGCCAAAAAAAGAAAAAGAAAATATTATTCAATCAACTCAATGACATATAGTTGTTTGATTATTCAATCAACTCAAATATAATTAACTGTTTATATAATCAAATATAATATGTCATTGAGTTGATTGAATAATATTTTCTTTTGGTTTTTTTGGCATTTCAACTAGTTGTCAATTAAGTTTCAATTGAAATAAAGATTTTATAATTATTTAAATTATTCAATAAAATTATCAATTTAAGATGAACATAAATATAAATACATTAAATTGTATTATTGAAATATTTGATTTAATATGAAGGAAAGACAAGAAGAAATGGCAAGAAATTTTTTAAAAATTCATGTGAGTCCTTTATATTGGTAATCACCTTTATTTGTTATTATAATTATAATGCCTGATTATAACCGATTGAAACTCATATCCACAAGTCATATAACGATTTGTGTTATACTATTTACAACTAAAGTTACTATATACTCAAATTAAAATTTTCTTTTTTCCACTAAATTTTCTTTTATATATGATTTATGTGTTATCATTTGTTAGTAATTAATTTAACGAAAATATGCTCTTTAGGCTAATATGTTTTGACAATGTGGATTACTTTTAAGGATTTTAATGAGATTTAGAACACATTTTTTATGCATTTAATCTATTCACATTTTATTTCATTTAAAATATAATTATTTAAAACATAAGGGACCAAAAAATATGAAGTCAAACGTTTGACTATATGCTTCATAGGCTCTTGGTAGTTATTGCTCAAAGTGGACATATGCTCTGTCTTCAGGAATCCCGAAGAACTATGAAGCCTTTGTGGACAAAGCAGATGGATATACTTACTTCTATCCGGCAGCAGTAAATTTTTTTTTTTAAACGCTGTCGGGTCTTGTCAGCCCCGTAGCACAAAACATAATTTTTTTAAAAAAAATATTAGCTAGTTGCCAGTCTATATCAGCCCCGCAGCAAACCGGGCTGACACAGCCTGGCAACCATAGTTTTATACGTACCCATTTTCAGATCCATACATGTCCGACTTTTCTTTTTTTCATCGATATTCTAAGTTATTAACCAGAGATCGGTCATAGTAAATACGGACATTAAAAGCAAAAATTTTTGTGACAAAGAGGGAGAAAAATATTTTAGATAGCATTCTTGTTATTTGTTTAAGATATTTTAGCTTGTAGGATTTTTTTTGTTACCCAACCTTTTGCTACTTAAAAATGTTGGGGGTAATATTGTCATTTCAATGACTCTAATTGAGACATCCAGTCACATTATGCTAATAGGGGAAGTAAGTAAGATTTTTAAAAATTTGAGGGTGCTAAATAATATTAGGATGAACTTTTGGGGAGGTTTCTGAAATTAACCCATAAATGAATGGGCAATTTTGACGTTGGGACTATTTGGTGTATTGGCAATCTACGTAAATCAATTGTTGGGCTTGAAACGAGGAAATTTGATTCTATTTAGAAAGGGCCCGCTTAATTGTTAATACCTATGTGTCTTGACAGTCTCGGGGTATGCCAATTTAAATCAATAAATAAATACAAATAACTTGAAAAATAAATCAAACTATTCAATGCTTGAATAAAACTCAGCTTGATAAGAACTTGTATGAAATTAGTTCGCTAACTAATCAAATCAAGTTTTAACAGTGTATGCCAGTTTAGATCAATAAATAAATATTTAACTTGACAAAAATAAGGTTGAAAAATAAATCAAACTATTCAATGCTTGAATAAAACTCGATTTGATAAGAACTTGTATGAAATTGGTTCGCCAACTAATCAAATCAAGTTTGAACAGCGTTTTATGTTCAATAAATTTTCAAACTTAACTCGAATTTGATTCGATTAATATAAAATTGGCTATATAAAAATTTCAAGTTACTCAAACTCGACTCGAATTCGATTCGATAAAAATTTGTTCGATCTGAGTTCGGCATATAAATAACCCAAATTTGAACAAAATTTTAATCTCGTTCAAATAATTAAACAAACTTAAACACTATAGTGTTCAACTTGATTAAACTCATTCACATCCATAGACAAAAGTGCAAAAGCTAAATACCAACATTACGGGGAATTTGACGTTAGAGCAAGCTTATTGTGAGAACCCTGAAAAGTATATACATAAATATCATTTTGTATTTCATTTGCATTTCCTTTAACCCTTTAATAAATTTTAGCATTAATGTTCCTTGTCTGCAAATAATTCCGTAAAAACAATTTTATGTGAGAAATAATATAATTTTTCACAAGTTATGAATTTTCTTGACTTTGCTAGACTAAATTAATACAACTGGAGTTAGAATAATTTATCGCCTTAAAATAAAACGCTAAAATACTTAGTTTTCTTTATGTTAAAAAGTAATGCTACTTGAGTAGATTAATTATATAAAATTTCTTGAATTCCGATAATTAATCCTAATTAGTGAATAACGTTAAATACTAATAAGAATTTTCACGTTAAGACCAAAACCAATAAATTTTATGTGCAAAATAAAAGAATTGGGCTAAACTATTAAATTTCTAGTTTTGTTTCATTAAATTCATATTTCAAAGGTAAATTATTTCATTGATTTAACAATTAGTCCTCTTGGAATTCCGATAGCTAATCTTAAGAATTAATAATGATTAAGTTAATAAATGTTGATATAAATGGATAAACGAATATTGAGAATGTCAAATTTTTATATTAAGGTCAAACTTGATTTTAATAGTTTAAAATAATTAGGTAATAATGTTAAATGTTAATAAGAATTTCCGCGTTAAGATGAAAACCAATGAATTTTAGATAAATATGATTCTAATATACTAAACATACTTAAGGCGTGAAAATTCGATAAATATATCCTTATCTTTCTTTGTTTTCAAAATAAGTGCGTAAAAATAATTTTTATGTGCAAATTGACACCCTTGGATTAAATTATTATTTCATTTGACTTTATATTACTAAACCGATAAATTTCGAGTTAGACTAACGCTAATTCTTGAGAAATAATAATTAGAAATTCCAATAACTAATTTAATCGCTAAATAATATAAGAATTACTGGGAACCTTAACATTTAAGATTAATCGATAGTTATTCGATAAAAATGGGTTAGGTATAGTAGGGTATAATTAGGCGTTCAAATCGCACTTGGGGATAATTTCTAGAATTAAGTCGGAATTGAGGAATTAAGTTGAGATTAAGGAGCGAAGTGAAAAGACTAAAATAACCTTACCTTACCTTCCATGCAAACCAAACAAGACGTCTGACTGCAAATCAAATCACGCAGCTATTACCAAATCTGTACGCAAACCACTCTTACACGCAAACCATTCTTATAAACAGCGGCACCATAAAACCACCCTATCAATCACTATATTTCACATTTCATTCCTCAACCACAAGACACAATACCATTCTTTCGGTTTCACTGACACAAACCGCAAAGTGTTAATTCCTTCTCTGCACAAGCAACTCCTCGGACAGAAGCTTCAGCACCGCACCATTCAACCAATCAAAATTCACTACCAACTTCACACTCAACCGTAAACCACTCCTCTCCACAAACCGCGACTCCACCTTCATTCTTTCTCTTCACTTCGCACCAGCCATCCAAGAGCTGCTACAATTTTTCTTTCCTGCTGCTGTCCGTAAGGTCGAGGGACATAAGAGAAGCCGTGAGCGAATCCTTCATCCAGCTTCCACTTCCATCGGCTGCACCCAGTTTTCCAGCCGCAACAACCACCCCAGCTCCACCATCTGCTCAGCCAAGACAACCCAAACTGGAACTCGACCTGCACGTGAAGCCGGGAGAGAGAGAGAGAGGGAGCAGAAATTTTTCAGATTTTCGTGTGTGATCTTAGCTTGCTTTGAGGTAAATTTTCTGGACTAAAAATGGATGATCAGAGGTAGTTATGCCAGCCGTGACCTTGCATGTGTTAATTTGAGTAATCAGATGATGAAACCAAAGCTGTGGAAAATTTTGTTTTGAGATGAAATGCTTTAGCCGAGAGCCTGCCTTGATTATTGCAGCTCCATTTGTGTTTTTCTGTGGCATCTAAACACTTAAGTGCCTTTAGCTGAGTGAAGACTTGAAGATTTAGATCCTACATGTTGAATTGTGCATACGGATGAGAGGTTTAAGAAAAGAATTTCTGATATGTGCTAGCATAGGAGCTGCCGTGAACTTTAGCTTGAATTTTTGCAGCTTTAATTCGTGATTTTTGGGTTCAATTTTGTTGTTGACAAACTGATTTCTGGTCTGGAAATGATAGTGTATTAATTCAGCAGTTGTGCATGTGAGCTTTAAGTTCAAAACACAAGAGTTAGCCGTAGAAAAAAAATTGGTTTGTGACTAAGCAAATGCTGGAAGAATTTCTGTTTTGGCCGAGAGCTTAGCTTCAATTTTTCAGCTTGATTTGGTTTGATGTTGTTGTTTAAGCTTATAAACATGATTAGATGGTTAATAACAAATTATTTAGGCCCTGCATGCCGCTAATTAGTTAGCTTAAACTAGAAAAATAAAATAAAAATGCAATCTGTGCAGGCAGGTTCGTCCGAAGCTAGTTGTACAGAAATTCTGGAAATTTTTTTTGGATGTTGCAGCTGTTGGTTGAGTTAAATTTTGAACTGGAATTATTAAATAGCTAGACGAGTTTTTGCATGATTAATTTGGGTGTTTAAAACCAGATTTTAACCAAGGAAAAGTTGGATTTTTGAACACATAGTTGCTGGAAAGTTTCTGGATAGCCGTGAGGTGTGAACAGAAATTTCAAATTTGTTTTCTTTTGGAATTTTAACCTATTTTTGGATTTTCCTTGGATTAAAATGGTTTAGTAATACAGGGAAGTTGTAGGTTTAAGTGGTATAAGTTGTTTAGCAATAAATATTTGCTAACTTGAAGTTGGAACCAGAAATGTTGGGTTACATGCTGGAAATTTCTTATGTGATCGTCAAAGGGTGAGTTGGAACCTTAACTTGACTTTTGAATTGTTCCTTGAATCATGATGGAAGGAAATGCTTGGAAAATGTTGTATTGAAGTTCTATATGAGGTGTATAGATGGTTTGAATAAAAACATTTTGGTGTTAAAGGGGAAAAAGGAATTTTCACAAGTGAAAAATTGAAATTCCAGATTTTCGGATATTCCATGACCAGTCTCAATAAAATGTTGATATCTTGGTGTAGGAAAATCCGTTTAAGGCGCCGTCAGTGGCGTTTGAAACTAGAATCATAGGCCTTTGTCCTGTAGAAATTTCGTATTTTTCCTCCATGTGTACTACTGTCTGTGAATTTTTAAAGTGGACTGTTTTGCATGAATGTCCTGTTTCTTTGTGAAATAGAAATTGGGTTTTGGATTGAGATTTTAGCCTACTTGTGGTTTAAATTCTTGATTAAATTGTGGTTGGAAGTAATTGATGTTGTCAAGGGCTAATGATTGATGAAGCCCTTGGCCATTTGAATGAATTTAGAAGTACTACTGGATGATGAAAGTTAATTGCTGGAATGTCTTGGAGGCCTTACTTTTATTTTTATTTGCTTATGATGGGCTTGCTGAAACCAAGTGCTAATGATTGATGAAGCCTTGGTCGTTCATTTTATTTTTATCAGAAATGCATTTGTTGAAATCTAGGGCTAATGATTGAAGAAGCCCTAGTAATTTGCTATGTGATTTTTGCCATATTTTGATCCATAATATGATTTCGAAACGGGATCGGAGTTGTAGAAATTGTATCGACCATGCGAACTCGAACAACTGTGATCAAATTAATCAAAAAAATATTTTCCAGCTAGTATTAGACTATAAACTCAATATTTAGTGTTTCGCCTAAAACTTTCCAAACCGATAATTTCCTTTAGCTCAAACTAGCCTTATTACCTTTGGAGAATGATTTTCCTAGTTTCTAAAACTCCAGCCTTGTTTTACTCCTTTTCTTTTCTCTAAGAGTTGTCCTTGGCTAGTTAACTATAGGAAAAGTGCCAAAATACAAGTTTTAATAATTTTAGTTAAAAGCATAGGAACTTGCTCGGCAAGAAACCTTATTTTTAGGTAAAATAGTTTTAGTAATAATTTTTGCAAAAAACATAGCTTTAAAGAAATGTTCAAAGTAACTTCCTAACGTGGATATTAAGAGATTTGTCGACTTATTTTAAGAAAATGATACTAGTTACCCTTTTATAAGGAAAAGTATCTTAAGGAAAACTATAAGAAACATTTCTTCTACTTTTGTCAAGTTTCAACCTAAGTGGAGTCTTAATTTTTCTAAGGGAAGTAAACTAGTAGTATATCAGATATACCTCGATGTGTATAAGCTTAAAAACTGAATAGAAACTTATAGTTTCAAAATTTTGTATTCTAGGATATTGCGAGGACGCGGAATTCGATTTCCAATTTGACATCTGAACTTCACTCTTGGTGAGTGTCTCTGCCTGTTCTATGCTTACCTGCTTAAAGTACCTTCTTGACTTGATATGTGATAAGTTGAAAGTTGGTTTCTGACCCATCGAAGTGAGCTGTGTGTACTTTATCGCACTAGCCGTTCGAGTGGTGACTTGTGCAAAACATTTTTCTCCTGAATCCATAAATCTAAATGTAGTTGCGTCGTTGGGTGAATCCCTCGGCTTCTGTATCCAACTACCGGAAAACTAAATGTAGTTGCGTCGTTGAGTGAATCCCTCGACTTCTGTATCCAACTACCGGAAAACTAAATGTAGTTGCGTCGTTGGGTGAATCCCTCGACTTCTGTATCCAACTACCATGACGGGTATATCTCGAGTATACCACGTCCTTAGTCGGTGAGCGGGCCCGGGACCGGGGTATGAATGGTGACGGGTTAGGTATCAAAATGAGATGCTCTACATGGATTTTAGGTAGTGAGAGTTGACGGAGGGTCAACTGCGATCAATGGTAATCAAGCGAGGAAAATGGCTCCTGAGAGCCCCTGTATCCTACCTTGTGCTGTTATACGCTTTCCTAACTGTTCAGCTTGTTTAAGTTATTGCTCGTTGATTGATTTACGTGACTGCATGTTTTGGGGCACCACTGAGCTTTAGCTCACCCCATGTTTATTTGTTTCCTTACAGGATGTGAAGTTGAAAGTACTTGAGCAGCTTATATTTCTTAGGGTTGTACTTGAACAATTTGAAAGTAATTTTCGGTTTGTAACGGATTCTAAGCTAAGCATTGTACTTTTCGTTTTGGGTTGCCACTTGAAGCTGGAAAAGTGTAATCTCTAATTCTAATACTCAATTTGTATGTTTGTGTTAGTATAGTAAATCCTTATCTTTTACGAGCGTCGCTGGAAGTATTTAAGAACTGTCGATTGGCTAAGTTATATACTGTTATCTCTGAAGTTAATGTGGTGGTAGAAATCGATTTATTTTCGGAAGGATCTTTATTGTAATAGCTTAAGTTAATCGTCGGAAGATTTTAGGTTGGATTGCTTGCGTGAGTCCTGGCGAGAGTTGGGCAGACGGCCCGCCAACCCTCTGGTTCGCCTTAGGGGGAAGTGGGGTCGCCACACTTATGAATAATGCTCTCATTTTAATAATGTTTGAAAAATTCGTGATTTTTTAAGTAGCATTGGGCAATACCGTTTGTCTGATTCTAGGAAAAAGGAAAATACTTGCGACGCTATATTAGCAAAGACGAGCCTCAATTTACTGTTGGGACTTGGGAGTAACCCAGTTTTCGAATCCCTCCAGATACAATGAAGCCCTTTGTGGTCAAAAAAAAAAAAAAAAAAATTAGATACGCAGTTAGAGTTTGGTAAGAAAGATTTTTAAGGATACCCAATCTGCTGCTATCTCTACCGAGGATATGCACAAATATTACTATATTTGGGAAGTATTTCCTCTTATACAGGGTTTTTTTTTTAAATTCAATTTGTCTAACGGGCACTCGTTAAAATATATTTCAGATGTTATATTTTTGAAATAACAAGATTTATTTTGGATTTCTTTCCATATACTGGAGCGTGAATAACTGGGGAATGGAAATATTTTGGAGGCGGATTTTGGATTTCTTTCTATATATATTAACGACATTAATGAATTCTGATGGACCAAATGGGTTGAAAATTTTAAAGCATTCATTAGAATCGGCATTTTGCTCAATTTTCATAAATATTCATAAAAACACCGAAGCAAGAAACACGAAGATTATATCTTTTCCTTGTATACAACAGCTAATTTCATAAACATGAAAAATCTTCATTCATAACATGACTTTTTAAGATTATAGGTTGCTGAATATAAATATGAGAGCTAATAGACAAAAAAAAAAAAAAAATCCAGTTCTATTCAGATTTGAAAATGGCAAAACTGTTTACTGTCACCGTTTTGTTTGCTGTCGCCTTTATGTTTCTTGCCCCAGGTACTTCTTTCTTTTTTTTTTTAATCTTAATAACTCTTTTGATTATCTTTACCTGCAAAAGAAGTGATGAATTTCTCTTTTTTGTTTTCCTTTCCTTTAGTGATTTATTTTTGTTTACGTTAAATCCAAAAGATATCTTTTTTTTTTTTTTTTTTAAATGCAGTTGAGAGATCAATTCCTTTTGCTTCTGCGGATGACCAAAAATGCGTAATTCGGTTTAATGATGACTGCGCAACTATTGGTGGCAGTATTGGCCAAGCTCAGTGTCGAACTTTATGTATAAACTTCTATGGAGACAGCTTTCTTGATTCTTTATGTTACAAAGAAGGCCGGAATAGTTACTGCAGATGCTATTACCATTCTGATATATGCAACTGATGCACAATTACATTTGGATGTATTATTTGTTTCCTGAATTCAGGCAGAAACACAAAATATAAAGGTTTTTTTGTTTTCTTTAATGAGTGCACAAACTCACATTTCTTATTCATTTGTAGTTAGACACTGTTCTTTTTATTCAGCGTCATTTTGAGACCTCTCAACAAGTGCTGATAGAAGATCCATTCGATCGTTCTCGAGATTAAAAGTGTCAAAATGAGTGATTTTAGACGAGTTTGTATGGGACATGATTGGGTAATGAGTATAATTTGGATCAATTCATTTATATCTATTTAATAAACGGGTAGGAGGATACTCAATTACCCATTTATGAGTCGCTTAAAATTCTATTTATTTTTTTGCATGTTATTTGACAGAAAATAACAGTATTTTATTGTTATTAAATTGATAAAAAAATCAAAATTATTTGCTTAACACTCCCTAAAAGTTGAGTTATATGTATAATTATTTTTAAATAGTTGAGTCAAATCAACACACTACCCTCCAATTAAATGGGTTTAATTGGGTACTCATTTAGACCCATTCAAAATTAATGGATGCGTTTGGACGAGTTATCGGTGGGCGGATTCGGACGAGTCAACATAATTGAACTGTGATTGACACCTCTATTCAAGATGAATAGAAAGTAAGATTAAAACAACATGAATTTTCTTGCATTTATTTTTGGCCGAGAAATATCAACGTTTACAAGAAGGTACACGAATTGCAAATCTTCATAGTATCATTATTGTAATTTGTTGGATCATCCTTAACATCAAGGTGAAGTTACAAGAGTATGGCTTGTACTCAGTGTAAAATAAAATCTTAGTCCATATGCTTGAGCAGGATCCTCACCTCTATGAAAACATAGTAGTGACAGCACAGGAGGAGTAAGAAAGTGGAAAATGGTTATGAATAGGGAAAGCAGCTCCGTCCTTACACTTCCCAGAGGCGCACGGGTATCCCAATTTTAGTAGCATAGATAGAAGTAGCAAAAAATGTTGCTTTTGTTGAAGAAATTAGCCCATAATCCATTGAATTAAATAAAAATTCTTTCCCTTAGATGTTGTCAGGTTTCTGTTGCGATGACAAAGCTATAATCCAAGCTATCAAATCCCCCAATCCCGTCCCTTCCCCGCTGAAGAAAAAAAAAAGTAAAAAGGCACGCTAAAATGCTCAAAATACAAGCAAAAATGTTATAGAAATCTTGAATTTAAGCAAAAGATTGAAAAAAAAATGAAATTTAAGCACTATAAATTATAGAAATCTTGAATTACAAACTATACATAGATGTTCACAGATAATCAGTTATTATCAACTTTGAATGATCAAAAGTAATACCGAGAATTTAAAGGAAAAGGCTAACAAGTTTTTACCTCAGAAAAAAATTCCCCAATTGCTTGTTTCTCTTTTGCTGAACAGCAGTCGTTGGAAGCTTTTTTACAGAGTAGAGGCCTGATAAACTTGTCAGAACAGCAGTCGTTACTCATGGCTCGCTAGCCTCAGCAAAATAAAATGGTTGTTTACCCGATAAACCCCCATGGTTCATCTACAATACTATTAGGCCACCGAAAATTACAAACTACAGCGGATTTTGAGTCTCAATTTTTCTTTTTGAGCTATCTACGAATAAGATTACAAACGAATCAAGCCACTCGTAAATGCTCGTGAGCCGATTCGGCCAAAACTAGACTCAAACTCGAGTTACATATATATATATACACACACATACACACATATATATTTAATAGTGAAATTATATATATAATTCTAATATTTTATTATTTGTTAAGAAAAAATTGCCATTTTAGTCATTTTTTTAAAAAGCAAAATAATTATTTTTTAAAACTTAAATAGGCTTGAAATTGAGCTCGATTCAATTCAAATTTAAGGTCGAGTTCGAACTCGAATTTTACTTTAAGAACTCGTTGAAATTGGGGTCGAACTTGAGATTAATAAAATTGAATCGAGACTCGATTTGATTAGATTAAAACTCGACTAATTTGCAATCTATACAAAAGATTGTGACTGGAACATAGGTCAAAGGAACTTGGAGCGAGAAACCAAAGAGTTGTACATTGGGCTAATCTTGGTCATTGTGACGGCAATCACCTCGACCCCCACCTTATGCATCAACGTCTTCAGCATTTGGTCAAGGTCCTGATCAACCGAGATCTTAACCGAGGTTTAACCTTAACGCGCTAATGATTTGATTGATAGGGCAGGCAATGCCTAGCACCCTAAGGTTTAGGTCTATATCTGACACCGTCAATATATCACAGGCTAATTTATCAGGTTATAGTTCTGGCCCTCATTACTCTTCTCTCATGTTCTCTAGCATAAATGCCCCTTATTTTGCTCTTTTGGAGATATGCTATCCCATCCTTCTAAGCTCACGTTCACTTACTAAACCCGCCTCTGACTTAAGCATAAAAATAGAGAAATGAAATTTGAGTATCAGAATTGGGTTGGGAAAGTTCAATAAGGAATAGTTAAAATAAACTTATTCGAGCCTCTCTTTCCGACATAAATGACATAATTGGGTTTGGAGATAATGTTTTAGAAAAATTCTATCACAACTTTTTGATATAATATGCACGTGAAATAAAAAAATAATAAAAAATCATGTAGATGATGTAAGTAAATAAATTTTTACAAATAAGGAAGATTCACTCACTTGTCGGCCAAATGACCTGCAGCCATGAGAAAATTACCAGAATTCCGTTACTACAGTCAATAAAATCATCGGAGGAGGCAAAAATATGCATCTTTTTTAGTACAAATATAATGGTTGGTGAAACAAATCGTAACATCTCGAGTTTGGACAGATTACAAGCGCTCTGTTAGCCGTTAGCGGCATAAAAATTCTATCGTTGTGACAAAAATTTTTTTTTTTTTCTGACGCTATTCGTACATGTTAGACCGCAATTACGTCCTCAGCTGTGTGAAAATTTTCAGAACAAGACATCTATGGAATGTGGTGTGCTAAGTTTGACATTGTCCAGCACAATTGATGTCTTGCAACTCCAGACCGCACGCCTAATCAAAACGTTGAATCACAAGGAAAAACATATAAAAAAGAGGAGGGTATAATCTTCAAGTTCAAAATCGCCTCCGCCTCCTCAAAATCTACCTTGACATCAAAGATTAAATATAATGAAAAGAACAATGACAATGAAGGTCAAAGCGACGTCATTTTATGATGGATAATATCACACGTCCAACAACCATATCAAGCATTGGCTGCGCATCAAAAGACTACGTTACTACTAGTGATATCTCCCAAATACACACTATTATCATCATCTAGAAGCAGAACCATAAAAGACTTAGTTTGGGGCACCAGTTAGAACAAATGAAGTAAAAGACCAGGGATGGCATCAAGCAGTCAGACCAGCGCCAGAGTTCTTGCGGCAATCAGACAGCATTTCCATGTAGAACTGGCACTTGCTGATATCACTCCCATAGGTGTTCAAACACTGCAAAAGATAAATAACAATTTGGAATTTTTATTAACATAGTCCCACACAGAAACTCAGCCATAAAAAGATAAGTTTTTCAGCCCAATTTGCAGCAAAACAGTTAGATTAATCCTAAATCAGCCAAAAAGACTCAACAAGTGCCTGTGCTACAAGAACAAGCAACCACAGGTGCACCAGACTTATATGCACTAACAGACAGGACAATACCTAGACCAGTAGGAGAACAGAAAATGGTCTCAAGAGTATAAGCACAGGCCAAGAAATAGACATGAACAATTCGCAAACCCAAGGAAAAAACTCTATAGGTACAAGGATTTAAACAAACTCAGTTCACTGCAAAAGCTGTGAAAGCAGTACGCACATCTTGGAAGGCCTTCATATGAATGCCACATGCATCAGAAACTCCAAGACTGCTGCCTGTTGCCATGGTTGCTGAGTCAGGGGCAGGGGCAGAGGCTGGGGAGGCCACCGTCTCATGTCTTATGGTCCGAGGACCCGCAACAGCCTCTACAGCCCTATGTGCAATGGCACTGCCACCACCAAATGCCAAGCCTGCAAGTCAACAAATAATTCAATATAGCTCAGTTTATAACTCCTCCTATAACTCCTGGAGTATACTAGAAGCTGCCCAACTATGCAACTAGGCACTGACCATCAGCAACTGCAGCACCAATTCCTCCTCCCATAGGAGATCCAGCTTGCATAGGAGCAGGTGGAGGTGCAGAAGCAACTGCATAAGAAAAAGATAACACATCAAAACACAATGAAAAACCTAGAAATGAAAAACCATGCACTCACATTAACTTTCATAACTGTAGCTCTACAAATGTATAGGCTACCAACCATCCATAATTGACACGTCTACCTAAATGCGGCATCTCTACTATAAGCATTCCTTACTATAAGTTAATCAAATAACCTAGAACTCCAAGTTCTGCGTCATTCCCCCAAAAAAAAAAAAAGAAGCAGTACCTGGTGCAGGTGCAGAAGACTTCCGCGATGTAGTAGCGGCAGCAGGGCGAGAAGAGAACAAGGATGACCTTCCTATAAAAGGATAACACTAAAGTTAAAAAGCATGATGCAGAAATGATACAAGCACATGTAGCTGGCAGAACCACCAAGAACTGGATTTCCTTAATTACTCACTCACACGTTACGACATGTCCAAAGCATTCCAAATGTTGCCATTCTCAAAAGCCAACACATAGGCCAGTAAATATTCCTTTTATTCCAATTAACTCACGTTAGCAAACACCCCCTATCGACATCTAAAGCACTCACAATTTAGATAGCAAATGCTAAAATGGAAATTATTCCAGAATATCCAAGAAGTTGAATGAACTTCCCTTCAACAATAAGCAGACCAAAAAAAAAGGAGAAAATTTTACCTATAATTTAATGGTGAACAGGTCCGACGGAAAGTATAACCCGAAACTGAACTTTTGTTTAGACACTTCCAGTTCCGGATAATTACACGTCCATAAACAATAATCTTAAACCTCCCCTTCACAATTAAACAACTTTAATCTCCAGAAATTATTACAGTTTTATCGACAAAAATACCATTATTTTAATAAATAGAACAAGACTCCAAAACATAACCACAAAAGTTTTCAAAAGGCAAAGAAAAACAAAACCCTCATCGCGCTCCGAACCTTGCAATAAAGCACAAAAATCCACAGATCTACAAGAGCGAACCTTCAAAACGCTTTTCTTTTTTAAAATCCACAAACTAAATTAAACAAAACTAACACCATCTTATCTCTCGCTGCCAATTCCAACATTATTGAAAAAAACAAAAGCCTTTGCCAGAAAACGGAAAAAAAAAAAAACACATGATCAAACGCGGAAAAGACAATACCCTACCATAAATATGCACTTAAAAAAAGAAAGGCTTTATCCGTAAACATCGAAAGAGACTTAAGAGTAGAGATAAGCGTAGGTTACCTCCAGAGCTGCGGCCACCGGAGCTACGGCGAGGCATGGTTGATTTCCGGCGAAAAAGTGCTTGGTCAAATGCAAAAAAACACGAACGAGGAGAGCTGTTAAGGAGAGAAAGCTGAAAGATTTGTGTGGCGAGATTGCTGATATGAAAGTATTTATAGGTAAGCGTGCCGGTGGGGTCCAGTTTTTGGCTTGGAGAACAAGATGGTTGATCCGCATCGTGATTCTTTCTCCTTTTTTTTTTTTTTACTTTTAAGTAGTACTAATTTTCATTTTTGGGCCGAAGGTGTTTCTGGAATTTTCAAGACGTAAAATCGCTATTTTGTCGTGATTTGGATAATAAAATATTTGACTTTTCCCAGATCCGGGGGAGGTTGGATTTAGTTAAACTAGCTTAGATAAGGGTTGCGTTAAATATTTTTTTCGATAATTTCTATTTGGTCCTCACAAGATTTGGGAGCTTACGATGTTGTCCACTTCGACAAAAATAGTTTTCTACAATTAATCCTTATTGCCGAAATTGGCTAACCAAAATTTGGCATTTGGGTTGATCTAACCATAATTAATCGAAAGAAAAGGGAGAGTATTGCAAAATGTGAATCCTATAATAGGGAAATTAAGCATGAGATTGAGAAAAAAATTTCTTAAAATTTAATGTTCTTTTACATGTCATATTCTTATAGTAAATGCTGTTATATTTTTTTTGGTGAAGGATAAGTGAAATTAGTTACTTTGAAGTTGATGCAAAAGTAAATGGTTAGGAAAAAAAAAGGCTTGAACAAGTGAAAGATAAGGAGTGATAATGTTAAAGGATAACACAAAATGCAGCAATTGAACTTTCCCAACCCAATTCTGATACTCAAGGGTTTGTTTGGATAGGGTATTATTTGAAATATTATTTGGAATAATTATTGTAGCACTTTTTGTGATGTGATGTATGTGAGATAAAAAAGTAATTGTGAAGATAAAAAGCTGTATTGGAAATTATAATGGTATGATATGTCAATAAATATAGTTGACCAAATAATCTACTGTCCAAACAAACCCACGTGTAATTCTATATTGTACTTTTAATGCTATATATTTTCTATGTCAATAAAACCTTAATCAAAATTTTGTAAGTCAATTATTTTTTAAAGAAAGATTGGGTTGAATGGCCAAGTAAAAGAGATTGTAAACGGTAGATATTGAATTCAAAACCTCACACTTATAAAAGAAAATAAAAATGTGAATTCTTTAATGACGTGAATCACCCATACAATACAAAATGACAAAACCACCGTGCTAAACATTACCTCATTTATTATCTCTATATTAAACATTAAAGAAAGTGTTGTTGTTGTTTTATAATTAATTCGTTAATCCAATGCTATGCATCATTTATCATCTCTCCATTAAACATTTAATATAGTGTGATAAAAATACTTGATAATCCAATCTTATTGACGTAAAATTCAACAGAGCACGCCTTTATCAGATCAAATCGCGTTGCATACAGCGTCTTCACCTGCTCGGTCAGTTGGTGAAAGGCTGCTGAACCCGCCTTTTCTGGTCGCTTTTCCCCTTGCCACTCCCCACCCTGCAATCGTCTTCTTTCTTCCTTCTCCCTCCCATGGAGCTTCTATTCCCAGCAGTATCATCATCATCATCCCAAATCTTTGCCACACCCAAATTCAAACTCCCAATAGTCTCCCTTTTCCACCATTTTCACCCCTCCAATTCACTTCTCCTCAATGGCTCAATACCTTCGCCTTCCTCCCTTGCTTTCACCTCGGTCCGCCCTCTTCGGAACCCAACATTTTCTGCCTCCCAACATCTCAAGACTCATCGGCGAAAGCCACCTAAACTCATCCAAGATTCAGCACAAAGGTTAAATTACAAGTTCAGGATTCGAGCTTTGGGAAAAGATTCCGATGGCCCTTCTCGGAACATCGATAATAATGTTACATTAGTGATTCTTAGCTCTGTAGTTACAGTAGTATTGGCTGTAGCGAATCGGGTTTTTTACAAGCTTGCCCTTGTTCCGATGAAGGAGTACCCCTTCTTTCTTGCTCAGCTCACCACTTTCGGGTAAATATGTTTTGGGATTTATTGTACAATTTAATTTGTTCTCTGATATCACTTTCTTTCTTCATTAATGGTAATTATGTTAATGTCTCAATTTAGTAAGTCTGGAAATCTAGGATATTAGGATGCATCTAGAGCAGTGAAAAATAGTGAGTACCTGGTTGTTATTGAATTTACTGTGAAGAATAAATTGCAGTGAACGTCTAAGATTTTTTTTTTTTTTTTAAAGAACGTCAAAGATTGTTGGCTACTTCAGAATGAGTTAATGGTGAAGCATTGATATAGAGAAGTAAAGTGGCAATTTTTGAGTGCGTTTTAGCTCCTAAGCTTAGTAGGTGAAGCGCCTCCATAAATAGTTGCTCAAATTACTTGGGATGAATTTGGTTATGAACGGATTTTGTTAATGGAGAAAGAGAATTCCAAAGCAATACGTATAGTTGGAGAATCTTGTTAGACTACCATGGTAGTATACATTGTCATCAATGAGGTTATGTAAAATTGTGATGCGTGCTAGATGAACTGAAAGCTGAGAAAAACTTTCATCCTATGGAGGCTTTAAAACATGATTAAGTGAGGAAACTTCTAAGATCATGTAAAGAGAAATAAACTATGCATTGATAGCTTCTATAAATGATTCTATCAAATTTGTTACATTCAACATTTGTGCTTTTATCTTTTGAGATTCATTTGCTTCCATAGTCAGTGAAAGACTGCTAGAAAATTATGTTTCATTTGATAAAATGATGACTTGTTGGCTGTTTTGCACACAGGTATGTTGCTATCTATTTCTTCATACTGTATACGAGATACAAAGCTGGTATTGTCACTGATGAGATGATCGGCCTTCCCAAATCACGTTTCATGATTATTGGTTTCCTAGAAGCCCTTGGAGTTGTTTCTGGAATGTATTCTGGAGGTACAATAAATCAAGTCTTAGTTGGCATTTATTGCCTGCCAGTTGTGTTTGAGATTCTGTATGGGTGTTCTAGTAGTTAAACTGTTAGATATTTATGTATTTTAAGTTATGAATATATCAATATTACTTTTATATAGGTGCCAAGGATTCGATATTTTAAAGCTTTTGAATTTCAGGAATCACTCCAATCTATGAATGATTAGTCAGCATTAGAATGTATTGGTGAGAAGATTGTATTAACTGCAGCAAAGCAAGTCCATTCTGTTTCTTCTTAATTTCTAGTTTGAGAGGAGAAATTGCATAAAGTTCTAATATAAGGTTGAATGAGCAAATTACACTGAGAGATGCGGACTGAATAAAGTACGAACTTTTGTTTTGGATAGACAAATTTGGGAAATAATTAAATATGACTTGATATGCTGAAAGTTGTGTATACTTTGCAGCAATGCTTCCTGGGCCAGCTATTCCCATGCTGAGTCAGGTAATATCTGTAGTGTTAAGTATTTGAATTTTGAAACTGACATTTTTTCTTGCTTTCCGATTGAATTTGTAAAGAGGAGCAGGATGACTTTTGTTTTAGCAGTAAAATTGCATAACATCAGTCCCTTCTTTTTTCTGATCAAATTGACTTTACATAAACGTGGACATACCTCAAATATTGTTGATTGCTTATGAAAATTTGTGATATCTACTGAGCAAGAAAATGGAAACATTAGATCAGCAGCAAACTGATTATCAATTTGGAAAGCGTAGGTCTATTTAAATTCCTCATTTTGTGGACCTTCTACTGCAGACATTTTTGGTGTGGCAATTAGCTTTCTCTACCCTTCTCCTTGGCAGAAGTTACTCATTGAATAAAATCATTGGATGCTTTCTTGTAGCAGCTGGTGTTATTTTTGCAGTTATGAGGTTCAGCAATCTTCTCCTCCTTAGTGTTAGATTGTATTACTCATTCTGTTAATGACTAGTGCTATTGAATTTGCGTTCCTAAAATGGTGAAAATCTGTATTTACACTATGATTAGAGACACAAAATATTTTTTATTCGGATAATCGTCATGGGTATGCCTCGGAGTCGCATTTTTATTATTTGAACCTAGCATTTTTGTTCTTTCCACTTTTCTTTGGCATAAGCGAGATCAGATAAATGATAGGCTAGAAAAAGAGTGTTTTCGATAGATGCACATCATCAGAAACTTCTTTAAGTTGATTTCTTGTGCTCATAATTGAGATGCAGCACTACCCAAACAAACTTGATAAGGCTGATGGATTTTATAAGTGTTTGTTAAAGCTGATGAATTGGATGAGAAACCAGAAATGATGTCCTTAAATATGGTATTCATATTTAAGTCATCCTTTGTGTAATATTATCACTCAAATCCCTGTTTAATTTCACAATCAGGTCTAGTCTAGGATTGAACTGATATGCAAGTACAATATCTATAGTGGGCATTTGATGTGAGGTAGTTCTCATTGTTAGCAGCATTTCTGGGTTCTTTTGGGACAATATATGATTTTAGTTTCTCAAAGAGATCTGCTTGTATTGTAATAACATATCTTGCTTCCCATTACTAACAATGAAAAGGAGGATATACTGATATTGGGCTCTATTGTGTTATTGGCCCAAGATTTTGAATTCACTTCAATGTGAAAGTTCTATAATAATTTCAGTGGACACATCTGCATGGTGCATCTTATTCTACTTCTGATCTTCCAGTTCTTTCTTTTTGCATCTCTATTGGACTACAGTGGATCGGACAATGGTCAGATGTTATCTGGAATTGGGCTCATTTGGCCGTCACTGATGATAGTTTCGAGCGCCTTTCAAGCTGGTGCATCTATTATCAAAGTAACCCAAAAATTGTCATTGATTGTTAGCTTTTCCTGTTAGAGGTAATGTTTTGAACTTTGTATGGATGTATTCAGGAATCTGTTTTCCTTGATGCTCGGAGTCATCTCAAGGTATGAGCAGAAATTTTATGGGTATCTTATACCTTATTTCGCTGTTGACTTTTGAAATCACTTTATGCTGTAAAAGATGCTTATGGTCTCCCATGTACTAAAGCGTGATAATCCATACAGGGAAGGTCTCTGGATATCTTTGTTGTCAATTCTTTTGGATCTGGATTCCAGGTACTCTATACAGTTTAATGAATTAGGTTGTGCGTGCATATATTTCATGAATAAATATGATGCAAACTGTTTCTGCCTTTACTTTCTGCATTAACCAACATACTTATACG